TTTTTTTTTTTTTGTTAGTTGCTTGCTCATATGTTGTTACTTTGGAGTGAAAAGATGAAAACCCTCAAGGAGCTGAGCTGAAATCATTCATTTTTCTCATGATGGAAATAACTCTCTTCCCTTTATATGTGTTTTTGGATAATTAAGATCTCTAACAATTATTTATAGTTATCATTTCAGACTTATAGATGACATTCAGAATTAAAAAAAAAAATCCAAATTTAAAGCTAACTCTGCAAATCAATGGAGAACTTCATATATAGCAACAGGCTTATTAACCATGTAACTATACTTTAAGTAGTGAGTCCAAATTTCCCTTCCAAATATATTTATTTTGCTTTATGGGTTAACATTGCTTAATATCTCATGTAACTCCAAGACTCACTTAAGTTAATGTGTACAAAAGGTTTTGATATGATTTACACTTTATCATGAAATGGTCTAATTCTTGAGAATAAATATACTGTTAAATATGTTTGTGGTTGCCTTTATTAATTGAGTATATGGCCATAGTGTGTATTTATCAACAAAGTGTGATATTTATTATTAAAATTAAACTTTTTTTATCTTCTAAATATTTTTAATTATTTTTAAAAAATCTATCAGCATGCACACAACATATTAATTTAATTTTAAAACTCAATTAATATAAATGATTATGAACCAATATTTGCATAAATAATCATTATTATATTGATGTAATTTATTATTATAATTATTTTTATTGATAAACTTATTAATTCATACAATTAATAAATATAATTTTACATTTTATAATATCTTTTATTTTTAAAATTTTATTCATATGCACTTTGTGCACGTGCAATTTTACTAGTATTTATTATTGTTTTATCATTACATCCTTGCATTCACTCTAACATTTATAATATTTTAAGCACGCATCTTCTTGAAAGTACAACATAAGACATTATTTTTGTGGAGTGGAAGCTAGGAGTTTATCATACCAGAAGAGAATGTCACTAAAATGGAAATGGCTTTCAGAGATTCTTGCCAATTTGGTGTTAGCTGTGGTTATGTGGTTGTCTATACTTGTTTAGATGAAAAAACTTTTGATGCTACTATGATGACAACTTTTGTGCTAAGCTTAATGTATTGATATTACTAATTTAAATATTAGAAAACACAAAATCATTACTTATTTTTCCTTTTTATGTTTTAAATCATTGGCAAGCACATAGTTATAAGGTTTTATTGATTATGACATTCAGAACGAACAATACAACTTCAAATTTAAGGGGATATTCTAACAAAAAAATCCATGAAAAGACAATGTGTTGAAGCTTTGAATTAAGTTCTAGTTCATTGATCTAGGAAATAAGAATAACACTGTTGTTGTCAGGTTCCGAGTCCTGAATGAAAAAAATGGAGGGTTGAATTAGATAGTCGACAGTCAGCATAAGTTTGTTGAATAATCAAGACATGAATCCTTTAATACATTGTGTTAATACTATGATGTTTTCTTAAAGTGACGCGTTGTATGACCTGAATACAGTGACAAGTGTGCAATGGTCACTGCACCGGCGCCAATGGTCACTGCACCAGTGCCCTGGTGCAATGTTAAATAGACAAAGGTTCCCCCATCATAGACAAATATATGCAAAGAAGCTAGTACGCGAAAATAAAATTAGGATAAGAACTTAGAATATAAATTCCCTTATAGGTAAATTAATGGAATTAATAGATATTATGATTCATAGAAAGATAAATATTATATGCGTTTAAAAAACTAAATGGTTAGAGAGAAAGCTAAGGTGATTGATAGTTTAGGATTTAAAATATGATATTCTAGTCGAAGTCATACTAAAAATGGTATATGTGTGATTATAAATAAGAGTTTGATGAACAATATTATAAAAATTAATAAAATTGTAGATATAATTATAACTGTAAAGGTTGTTGTTGATATTAAGATTATTAATATTATAAATGTTTATCCTTCTTCAGTAGGTTTGGATATATGTTAATAAAATTTGAAATGATTTAAAAGAATTAATACAAACGATACCTCTTAATAAAAGAATTTTTATTGGAGGAGATTTAAATAAACATGTTAGTAAAGAGATAGATTTTAAAAGCATTCATGATGGTTATGAGTTTGGAACAACTAATGAAGGTGACATGGTAAGACTATATTAGATTTTGTCATAGCTTATGATTTTAAAATTGCTAATACTATATTTAAGAAAAAAATAAGAATTTTGTCACTTATAGGAATGGATATAATAAAACTCAGATTAAATACTTTCTTATAAGAAAAATAGATTGTTTAAATTGCAAATATTGTAAAGTTATTCCAAGTAAAACTTGATGTACTCAATATCATTTATTAGTTTTGTATTTTAAGATGAAGAGGCAGAATATAAAAAATAAAGCAAAATATTTTTCTAGTATTGGATCAGGATATTTAAAGAATACTAACAAAAATATTTAAGTGTAAGATTTTAGATCTAATGATCTTTTCAGTGAATGAGAAAGCTTATGTTATGTGCAAAAAAATAGTTTGTGATATTAAGAATATTGCAAAACATATGGTTTGAGAATCAAAAGAAAATGTTGCTAATAGTAAAAAAAGTTGGTGGTCTATTCAAAATATGCAAGAAAATATCAAAAATAAGAATATTTATTATAAAATTAATTTAGATAAAAATTTTTGAAAATTAGGAAGGATATAAAAAGACTCGTAAGGAACCTAATAAAATAATATGTAAAGCAAAAATTTTAGCTTTTAATGATTTATATAATAGATTATATACTAATGAGGGCAAAATATATATGTATAAGTTAGACAAACAAAGATATAGTAGTGGGGATTTTGTTCAAGTGAAGTGCATTAAGGATGAAGATCAAAAAGTGTTTTTATTAGAATGAAATATTCAACAAAGGTGCATGAGATATTTTGCTAATCTTTTCAATGAAAATTATGTGAATATAATTTACTTTAGTGACCTTAGCACCCTAAATGAAAATAGAAATTTTTATTTTTATAGATGTATTTGTAAAATCGAAGTTAAATAGGCTTAAAAAAAGAAGTGTAAAAAAACTATTTGACCTGAAGATATTCTAATAGAGGTGTGAAAATTCTTAAGAGATGAAGGAAATTTTTGGCTTACTAAATTTTTTAATTTTATTTTGATCACTAAAAAGATGTCAGATGAGTAGAGAATGAGTGCGTTGATTCCGATCTTTAAAAATAAAGGTGGTGTACAAGATTGTGTGAATTATAAAGAAACTAAGTTAATGTCCAACTTTAAAACTATGGGAGCAATATATGGAGCATAGGTTACGACGTGATACTAATGTTTCTCAAAATCAATTTGGATTCATGTCGAGTAGGTCTACTATGGAAGCTATACATTTATTAAGAGGTTTGATGGAGAAGTATAGAGAGAATAAGGAGGATCTATATATAATATTTATTGATTTAGAAAAAGCATATGATAAAGTTCCAAGAGAAGTGCTATGGAGAGTTCTAGAAAGGAAAGGGGTTAAAACACAAGGTGGTTTGAACAAGTATTTTCCTATTTCTGTTGAATTATAACAAGGAACAGCCTTAAGCGCATATATTTTGGCTTTTAGTCGTTGATGTTCTTACTACATATTTGCAAGAGGTTATACCTTAGTATATGATTTTTGCTGATGATATTCTTCTTATTGATAAGACTAGAGAGGGTGTTTAAGGTAAACTTGAATTATGGAGGACAAACTTAAGAGTCTAAAGATTTTTGTTTGAGTGGATCTAAAATTGAATATATGGAGTGTTAGTAGTAATAAATCAAATGGTAGTTATTAATAAGAGTACATGTTTTAGATATCTTGGGTCTATTGTTTAGACTGATGGTGAAATAGATGGGGATATTATTAGTAGAATTCAAGTTGGATGGTTAAAGCAGAGGAATGCATCGGGCTTGTTGTGTGATAGAAAAGCCCCTCTCAAACTTAAGGAAAAACTATATAAGATGGTGGTGAGACCTACAATGTTTTATGGAGTAAAATGTTGGCCATTAAAAAAGAAGCATAATATTAAGTTAAGTGTTGCAGAGATTAGAATTCTTAGGTGGATGAGTAGCTTTACTCTTAGAAACAAGATACGAAATGAGCACATATGTGAAAATGTTGGAGTAGATCCAATGGAAGATAAGATTAAAGAGAGTCACCTTAGATGATTTGGTCACATAAAACAATGGTCTTCTGATGAACCAATTAGGAGAATAGATGTATTAGATTTGGCTTATGTTTAGAAAGAGAGATGGACCTAAAAAGACTTGGTTAGAAATATTAGAAATGATCTTTCATTATTAGATTAAATGAGAATTTGACTCTTAACATGACAAAATTGAGAAAAAAAATTCATGCAGCTGATCCCACATAATGGGATAAAGGCTTGATGTTGTTTTTGTTGTTGTTAATCTAGAAAAATAGCATGATTATTGGAGATTTAATATTTTGAATGACTATGAGCCACAAAACCATCAAAATCACATTAATACCTAAATCCTACAAACTAAAACTAAAAAACACAGAGATTTGACCGGATTTAAGATTTATATAAACTATCAGGATTTATTAAATCCTAATTGAATGGGTTCTATCAAACTCGGATTTAATAAATACTATTTTTAACAAGGAAGGAACTAGGAATGTGCCAGCGTATGATGTATCATCAACTCTTTTTTAGTATACTATGGTAATAAAATAGTAATTAGTCCCTTATGTTGGGCAATACAATCCTATGAGAAAGGAAATGTAAAATTCAAACTATATGTTGCACATGTTCATAATCACAAACAACATGGGTGAAGAACACGTATGTGCAGGCAAAAGCACCAAATGCACAGAATAGCCCACTTCAAGAGACGATTAATAAAGCCTAAACTCGCATTCGCCCTTAAGAAATCGTCGATCGCACATACCAATAATAGGATATATGCGAAGCAAAATCAAGATTATGAAAAAAAAAGAAACAACACCACGAAAATAACCTCTTCAGCCGGAACTCCAACGTCCTTCTCCTGCTGCTGCCCTGCCACTCCCCATCCAGGCAGAACCGGCGCGGTCTTATAATAGTCGTCATCATCGTCGTCAACATCGGCCCATGACTTGTTTAGCGGCGTAGGTATCCAGAAGACCTGCGACGGTTCCGGCTCCTTCTCCTGGGTGTTAAGCAATCCCTTGCTCTTCGAGGGTACCTTGCGATCCTTAACCGAAGACTTCTTCTTCTTCTTCAGAGTCTCGAGCGCCGCGAACACATTCTTGCTGCTTATCCCGGGGGCCGCATCGTCCCTCCTGATCCCACCACCCACCATCTCTAGCCCCGTCTTCGATGAGCCACGGTCTTCAGATCCTGGGTAAGATGTCGCTTTTTACTAAAGAAAGCGATGCCGCTTCGATTCCTCGCAGCTATTACTCGTCGCCACCGATGTAGCAGTTGGGATGGAGAGGAGCGCGATAGCCGTAGCCGACAAGATAGAAGTTCACCGGCGTTGTAGAAGGGAAGCTAGGGCTTGAGGCAAACCTGGAGGTTAGAATTTAGGGAGTTGCCGTTTCGGATAACGCCGGGGATTAGAACTTAATATTTTTAAAAAATAATTATTAAAGCGAGTAGCTTAGCAGCGGCCTACGGTGTCAAAATAGGTCAACGGTCAAATTCAGATCTAACTCAAATTGGTAAGGGTATAAAACGTCCACCCTAACCCAACCTGATTTAAAAATGGATCAAGAATGTCAACCTAGATCTGACCCGCCGGGTTGACCCGACCCGATCGATGAAATCAGATTTTGTTGGGTCACTAACTCATTGCAGTAGTGCAGTGTGGGTTCACAGCAGTGCGCCTGTGCAGCTGTGCCGAGCGATGAGATTGGTGGCCGAGCAGGAATCAAACCCAACCCATGAACCTAGCACACTGGCGCGTTGTGTACTTGTGTCGTCATGTCGATTGCTAACCTACCACCTACAGACCAAGCACGATGCCCTGTGTGCCTATGCTATTGTGTAGAATGCTGACATACAGACGTAGTGTAATGTCCTTGTGCCAACCTAGCACTCTAGTATGCTACATACTCCATACGCGTAGGGAACGGGTTCGAACTCGCTGGCGGGACAATCCTGATTGATTTCGGGTTGCCAGGTCAACCAGACCTGATCTTAAAAATTGATCATAAACTTGAACTCAAACCTTACCCATATGACAGACAAGTTGACCCAAACCCATAATTTTTCGAGTTAGATCCAGTTTTGACACCTCTAGCTTCAGCAGCCACTATACCTCATTTAAATTTTCTCTTTTACATATTTATTTTAATAATATAAATTATTAACAGATCTTATTATGTCACTCACAATTAGGCAACCAAAGTCTTGTATTTGGTGGTGGTATATGCAAAATGGCTATGAATATTGTTATGATGGGCTAGAGCCCATCTAAACAAAGTTCTAGAGACATCAAAAAAAATGATATTACAACACTAGCATCATTCTTGATCTAACCTGCACCACATCACATTTATCTATTTTGTGCTCACGTAGGTATCAAATACGCTTAGTTAATTTAGTGATGACACTAACATTTTTAAAAAAGGTCTAGCATAATCAAGTATCAATTACAACTAGTTAGATTAGGTATCAGCCGTCACTAAACTTTTGATTGGTTAACCCTAGTGGAATAAGCAATACTCTTGTTTTATCTATGAATCTTCTTTTTTTTTTTAGGGGTGGAGCGGAGAAATTAGAGGCAATCATGTCCAATTTTAATTAATGTAATGAAAACATTACAAAATATAAAACTACAGAAATGTAAGAAAAGCAAAAAAAAAAACACATAAACCTCTATAAAACTAACAAAAACTAGTAACCAAGATAGCCAAAGGACCATCTTCAAAAAAGAATAAAAACCATCTAATCACCTAAACAACAATGATTAAATAGCTAAACAAAAGCTACAAGTTGAATATGCAATCCAAAAAGACCAGCTAAATCTTCAAAACAAAGAACCAGACCCTTACAGAAGTATCACAAGATCCGCGCTGAGAATTCCACTCCCCCAATTTCTACCAATCACTAATCTATTCTTGCATAAAAAAAAGGCCAACAACTAGCACCAGGAACTTCCTTAAGACACCAATCCACAAAAAAGACTTTGAGCCACAAGAAAGAGCTCCACTAATAAAGCTCCAAGCCACCAAAAGAGAGCTCAAGCAACCAAGGACTCAAAATGGCAAAACCCTAGTTGTTAGAAATGACCAACCTAGTAATCAAATAAGTTGTTTAGCCATCAATCCATGAGAAACCATTGGAAAAACCAATTCATCATCGTCTCAATAACCAGCCTCCAAAACAAAATAGAGCCATAGCTGTCAAAGAAAGCCCCCTCACCCCCCCCGGAAAAGATAGCCAAACTAGAACAAGTCTATCACCTCAGCCAAAGCCAAATGCTTAATATAATGAAAAGATATCCACAAGGCATTCTAAGCCAAAATAGCATTCTTAATAAGCCTTTCCATCATAACAGAACAATTAAACTTCCCAGCAAGTCTTTTATTATTCCTTTCTCTACATAAAAAACAAATCGAGCAACAAGTTGAATGAAAAAAGCAGCCTTTAAGTTCTTTCCTTTTTTATTAACCGAATTTAAAATAAAAAACATAATTAAGGTTTACCCTAAGCACTAAAAACTCAACCCCTCGTACTAAATGAGAAATAATTTTAAAGAAAAAATCACACTAAAACAAAAGATGTGTTTGATTTTCCTCATGTTTAGCACATAAAATATAATTAAGAGGCACATTCAAATCCCTTTTCTAAAGAATATCTACAATTTTCAAACCTTTCAAGATAGCCATCGAAGAAAAAAAATGGAAATCTCAAAGCATACCTTTCATGCCAAATAAAAGAATATCATTCGACTTTAGTTAAACCATCATAAAAGGCAGCATGAAACATTTTAAAAGAAAGATGAGATACCCCATTCCAAGAAACACAAGAAATAGCAATATTGGATATAAGAATAGAAGATATGTCCAAAAAGATTTAGCATTTTAGTTCTCAGGAATCTTCCGACCATCAGCATTTAACCAAGCACTCATTGTAGCATTATTAAAGGCTCCCTAATCCAGTACGAAACAATATTACTATTGGTGAATTTAAGAAATTGGCTTCTCCCATCAAAAGAAAGAACTTTAGCTTTCCAACTAGCAAGAAAATCAGTAACTTTACTAATAAGAGGTTGATAATTAGAAGAAGAAAGCCTTTTGCAAGATAGGCAACCCAAGATATTTCAGAAAATTATTAGAAATAGTCACATTCAAGATCTGACAAATATTCTCAGCATTAGAACAATGAATAGAAAAATAGCCAAGCTTTTACTATGGTTAATATAAAGACCTGTGCAACAAGAGAAATAATCTAGAATATCCTTTAGCCTTTGAGCATTAAAAATAGAGGCTTTCCCAAAAATCAAAACATCACCTGTATATAGAAAATGAAAAATGAAATTCTCACCAACATTGACGCTCTCAAAATTTACATCTTTAGACTTATCTTCTAACAAATTAGATAAGGTATCCATAATAATGTAAAACAAATAAGGAGAAAGAAGACAACTTTGAGGAAGACCAAAAGAGGAGTAAAAAAATCATTTAAAGCATCGTTAAGAATTGTTGCAATATGGGATCCCGAGTTTATGATTTTAATAATAACAAATATCATTGGATTTTTCTTTATTTTTTGTCATAGTATTATTATTACATTTTTCTCTTGTGTATTAACATTTCAAGTACATAATATGCCATGTATCAATAAAGGATTAAGACTCAAGACTGGGTAGAATGGTTTGATATTTGGAAAGATTATGTACTTTTACTTATTTACTTTTATTTTTCTTGAATTAATTATTATCTTGTAAAAGATATATACTAGCTTAGTGATCTTACACAAACATATAGGGAAGTGAAACTTAGATTTCAATTTTTATTTTTAAATCATACTTTACGATCTCGATCATACACTACGATCTGTTGATTAGAAAATAGATTTTAATGGGTAATTGAGAGAATAAGGGAGTTGAACTAATTATAATGTATGAACTCGGTCATATAGGATGATCAATTTAATATTGAGCCTCCAGTCGCCAATCAAATTTCGGTAAGTATTTTGAATTTATAATTTTGAACAATCAAATTATACAAAGCTATTCGCATTGTATGATATTTAAAACCATGCCTAAATTAATCCCTATAATTAGACAATCAAATCAAGATTAAAATAATGAATCTAATTGTACAATATGGTCTTAATCATAATGGATGATTATCAATAGATATGATTTTTTTTCATCCCAAGTATCATCTTAAACGAGCCTTGATTTGTTTGAACTATTCATATTATACAATCAATAATTTGTACAGCATGATCAATTTATGATTCTTGAACTGATCATACTAGGGTTTGTTCATCGTATTAGACAAACAGGGATTTTGAAATAATCATACTTTATGATCCCCAGATTATAATGTACAAATTTAGTAACTTAAATAAAAAATTTAGGATTTTTTAAATCTTTGTATAAATACTTCTTTTAATTTGTTTAAGAGAGTCTTTGGCCAATTTTTTTGAGAGGTCTCTTTATTAAGTATAAATATATATTTTTATTAGATTTGAATTTCAGTGAAAATGTATTGCTTAATTATTTTTGTATAGAAAATACTCAAAAAATTGTAAAATTTATGACTATAAAATTCATGATGAGTAATTTTAACTTCAAGTTCAAATATCTTAAGAGATTAAAGGATGAACCAGACTCTAAAATTTATGACTAATATGAGTAGATTTAACTTCTAGTTCAAATAACACTAGTGAGAAGACACCCTAAGAACTCTAAATTCCATATTTTTTAATTTATCTAACTAAATTTTCTAACCACTTGAATTTATTAGAAAATTTAGCAACATAATGGCCCTATATATACAAAAAAGAAAAGCAAAACATCCTTTTAGCATAATGAGGACCCCACTATCTTGCCCACATTTGGCATAAGTGTTTTGGCTTAACGTACATTGTAGAAATAAAATGAGTTCATGTATATGTGTATATGTAAAGGGGTTGGTGTATACAGTACCCAATACCGTATCATCCTAAAACTATTATACATCTTCTTACAAAGTCCAAAATATATGCACCAAAAGGAACCTAAAAAAACTTCTACCCACTAATGCAAACTACCACCATATGAATGCAATGCATGAAGTAATATAATAAATGAAAGATTGAATATAAATGCAATTTATTTATTCATTAATTTAATGATTTATAACATACACAAACTATGTATAAAAGAAGGTGGCTAGACTCTATCACAATAAAACAAGATTTCTAATCCTAACATATATATTTAAATATACTTGCTTATGGTCTTCAAGATCCAAGTCTTTTTTAGAATTCCAAAAGAGAGTATCCTCCAAATTAAATGATATAATCTTTTGGAGCCTTATATTTATATGTATAAGCAGATATATTTAAACATTTTACAACTCATGATGTGGTACAACTCTTGGGGTGAGTGCATGTGAT